AAAAAAAAAAAAAAAACCCCACAAAAAAACAAAAAAAACGCAACATGGAAAGAAAGCTAAGTAGTGCTTTGGCTTCTTTTAGAGCCAGTAATTCTTGAGAAATAAATGCAAGAAGATTAAATATTCCACAGAAGGGGGAAAAAGATATCTGTGCTATTTTTCCTTCTGATGAACATATTAATATTTTTTCAACCTTGTATTCCTTACTTTCAGGATGTGAATTATACAGATTATCATTAGCCTAGGTACACTCACCAACATGATGGCTTTATTTCTCTAGCTTATTTTATACCAAAAACAAGGTTATGAGGGGAAAAAGAGCTCTGTAAATACGTGGTATGTTTCATATTTGGTTAAAGCACGATAAAACTAAAACTTTCAAAAAAATTTCAAAAACTCTTGTCTTTTAAAATTATTTAGCATATATACAAATAGATACCAGGTTTCTCCTTTTAAACAAAGCACTACTTATTTTAAGTACTTTAAGTACCAAGAACTGACTATAATATTCAGTTCATAATTTACTTTCCTTATAACAATTTTTTTCTAAATACTGATTTAAAAGGCTGGAATAAATTAACATTTTTAAAGGATTTCCCATAATTTAGGAAAATAAAATATTGTACACAGAGCACACATATGTAGCTCTGTCATATTTGCATAATTTTACTCTCAGAACCTCAAAACACCTCACATTTCAGGCCCTTTTGCAAATCCTCATTAATTTATTTACTAGCATGTTAAACATACACTAGATCTCGATTTTTAATCTCTGAGCCTGTGTGTTGATCATCTTCATCCGACTGCTGCTCTGAGCCTTGTGAATTAATGTATTCATATTCAATAGGCTTCGGATAATTATAAGGGTAGCCATTGTCATCAAAAAATCTCCGGAAGGTAAATTCATAGAATGCATGTTCAGGATGCTTTCCATTTTTATACCATCCATTGAGAGTGTCATTTACATTTTCTTCCTCGTTATCATCACTCCATAACTTATCAGGATCAACAGGATCAAAATTTGATGTATCTGTTGGGTGTGTGATTTTAGGAATGTATGACGCAGACTGCTGTCTCAGGTCACTGGAGAAATCAATTGTTTTAAAAAATGGATGAGCTTTTATTTCATCAGCACCATTCTTGCCTAAGCGATCTTCGGGTCCTCGGCAAAGTTTAATAATAAGGTCAGAAGCTTCAGGACTGAGTTTAGCTTGTGGTGGAATGTGAAGAGATGTTTGCCAGTTGATAACCTTCAAAGATTTTTAAAAATTAGGGGGAAAGAGATAAATTAGAAAAATAAAAATTTCCTTCAAGTTTTATACCAAAAGTCTCATTGGCTGTTTTTGTATTTTAAATAAATTGCATGATATTTTGCTGGAAAATAATTTTTTTGCCTATCCTGTCCTCTCCAGGCAACTTCTACTCACATTATATAAGACTCATTGTCAGTTTTAATCTCCTTTAGTAAACCTTTTTGCCTATGGTGGAAATGACTACTTGTACTCTGCCTCCCCTGTACCATGTATTTATTTCTATCATATTTCTTTTTTTTTCTTTCT